ATAAATATCTTTTCTTTGTAGCCAAATATAACCAAACAAACAATCCAATCAACAAATCAAACTCATATCCCTCTTCGAACCTCCAAGAATCCCCAATCCAATCTTTCTAAATTCTTGGGGATGTGGAAGATTCGGTAAGAATGGGGACTGTGAATGCCGAAACTGTAGAGGTTTTTAGAGCCAATTGTGATTGTTTGAAATCGAACCTGATTTTTTGAACTTTTTAAGAGACTCAAAAAAAATATATATTCAGGGCTATTTGGGAATATAGTAAAAAGTCAGTTTTTTTGACTTTTTAGCTTTTTTTACCCAAAAAAATCACAAAAAAGTCAGTTTTTTTAGCAAAAAATCCAAAAAAAACCAACTTTTTATCAACTTTTTACCAATTTCTCAAAACACCACTCTATCGGTTTGGTTTTAATTTTCTGGATTTAATTTTTTGAAAATTGATTTTTTTTTTTGTATGGATTGTGTTTTTTTTTTAGTGAATATTTTTAAAATTTTAAGTAATTTTTTACTTTTTTAGTTACACCTTACTTAGATGTATCTAAAAAGTAAAATATTTGTAAAAAAATATTTTAAAAAATCAATAAATACAAAAGAATAATAAAAATATATTGAATTCTCATTTTTTTATTTTTGATATTTAGTGAATTTTCTAAAGAATTTTTTCACAAATAGTATACTTTTTAAGTGTATTTATGTTAGGTGTATCTAAAAATTAAAAAATATTAAAAAAATTCAGTGAAAATAAAAAAATACGAAAAACAAAAAATTTCAATTTTTTGAAAGTGAATCCTGAAAATCCAAACCAAACAACCTGATTAGCCTCTTCTTCATAGAGGACACGCTTGCTGCTCATAGAGTTTAGCAAGTAAAATATTTTATAGGAAAATGTTTGAGGGCCACAATTTTTGTGGCCACAAAAATTGTGGCATTCTAGCATTGTCCAAAACGATGTCGTTTCCAAAACGATGTCATTTTGGCAGTTTTGAGCCATTATGGCCATAAAAATTGTGGCCTTCTAGCATTGTTCTATTTTATATTGTCTTTTACACTAAAAAAAAGGCCCGGGGTTTTTACCAAAAAAAAAAAAACTTATACAAAACTTATCATTAGAATGATTTGATGGAGAAAATTGGTGATAAATCTAAGGAGGGTATAAGATATTAGATTCAATGAATATTTTTTGTTAGTAAGAAGTGCGCTCTTTGTGAAATAATTCTATGAAAAGTCCTTTTATTATTTTGGGAGAACATTTTGTTTTCAATTTTATCTTTTAATTTATCAATTGACTTTTTTTAACTATCTGTTCAAATTTATATTTATTTGTTCAAATTATTTTCTATTTGTTCAGATTTTTGGTCTATCTGTTAAAACTTTTTGACTATCTATTTAAAAAAAAAATTATCTATTGAATTTTTATTACCTATTTTTTCTATCTGTTCATATTCATATTATTTTCTAACTTTCTCTCTCTATCTATTTCTCTCCACTTCTCTATTTGTTGAAAAAGAAAAAAAAACATATATATATTAGGGCTAGGTATAGGGTTATCCAAACCGTCCAATCTGAACTGATTTGCATACAAATGGGCGGTTTCGCAGATATAATGTGGGTGGATGCGGTTTGAAATATGGCATGATTGCGGGTTGTGGGTTTAACCCACCTCCACAAGAATCCCCCGCACTTAGACTTTTTATATATTTATTTATTTTTTAAACCTAGACCGTTGTTATTTTATTATTGCATTTTGGATAAATGTAAAAGTTAATGAAGAATTACTTTTAGGTACGTTTAGGATTTTGAATGATTTTACTTTAATTGTATTGTTGGATAGTAAATAATGAATGAGATTGATGATCTAGTTTAGGATTTTGAAAGATGTATTTGTGTTAGTTTATGATTTAATTTAAAAATTTAGGTTCTACACTCAATACAAAGGAACTAGGAACTAGATGTATTTATAGAGAGAAGATGTAGTCTAGAGAGAGAAACTCTCAAGTTATTCATTCAATGAACTTCATTAAATTGATTAATGTATCTCATACATTCATGATACATAATGCATTTTCTATATTAATGAATTCATTAGATTACATATTCATAATAGATACATAATGCATCTCTAAGATCCATTCATAATAAATCCATCACATTCAATGTATTAGCATTAGTCTTCTATACATTGCATAAATAGATATCAATGATTAGTCACCATCTAATTGATGTACATGTATCCTACTAATGAGATGAATCTAGTATAATCATGCAAAATCTTTGAAAAGTTGTCATATATTACAATTAAACAATGAAGGTAAAAATCGGGATCGCTATATCATCAACAACAAAAAAATATATATATGTTGAAAATCTATTTCAGAAAACAGATCAAACACAAATTCTTATCTATCTGTTGCAGATCTGTTACACCCCATAACCAAACACTAAATTAGGGCTTGAGAGAGAGAAAGAGAAAGAGAAAGAGGTATATCTATTTCATCATCATCAGCAACAACAACAACAACAATGATCTGTTCAAAGTTATCATTTTTTCCTATATGTCAAATTTTTTTGTTTCATCATCATCAACAACAATAACAACAACCAACAAAAAAAAAATGAACAGACAGCCATATTAGAACAAATCTACCATATACGAACACAGCACCATTGCCATTGAAAGAGTCTCCGACCAAATCTATCAAACCTCGCTATTGCTGCTGCCGCTACGATGGAGATGGAGATATCGGTATATGTGGTGACAAGAGAGAAAGAGAGAGAGAGAGAGAGAGGGTTTTGAGAAATTTGTTATCAACAAATAAGTGTTTGTTTGTTTTATATATAGGGTATATTTTGGTTATTTCACAGTGACTTGTCCTTATGGCCATAATAAATTAGCGCCTGAACTTTTGAATAAGAAAATTTTAAAATTAAATTTATTGCTTGAGCGCCCAATTTGATACTAATATTTATGTAATTAAATGCCATTTAAATTAACATTTTATTTTAAAATAACAAGACTCAATGCAATCATATTGTTTTGTATATAAATACCATTTCTCATCACGGGGTAAAAAACAAGAGCATTGACTTCACTAGGAATTGATCCAAAAACGTAGAGGTTATAATCATTAAGGCTTACCAACTCAATTTAGGTGTGGTTTAAGATTTGTTTATTTTTTAGCTTATTGACCTTTTACGAAATAAATATGCAGAAAAATCTAGAAGTGATGTGCTAACTTATAACAAATAAACAAACAAACTGTTTATTTAGGTGGTCCCAAACCAACCCTAAATAGAAGTTAGTTTTAAATTTTTTCCCCCAACAAATCCCTCCATTTTTCTTCTCTCCTATAAATTCATTCACAAATTCAAAATCCAATCCAAACATAAGGAAAAACATAAATAAGGAATTTAACTTACCAAGATGAGTGGTGCTACATCCCCTAATATTGTGCCCCTCAATTCCACCTCTAATGACATGACCCACTCTTATGTGAAGTAGTTCCACACTCCTCTCCTTCTCACTTTTAGCTCTCTAATTTCACATCATTAAAAGTAGAATTGAGAAAACAAAATTAAGGAGATAAATCATTATTCTATAATATAATAAGACTAAAAGTACAAATCATGGAGTTTTAAGTACATTGCATTCAACCTAAGTTGCCACAAACAAAACACAACCCAAGTGATAGCCTTCCTTACAAAAAGCTTCCAACATTGGAAACGTTTTGAGAAAAGAAATGAGTAGTGCTACAAACTCATAAATTGAATCCCTAAATTTACTCAGAATGACGTTGTAAGAGAGATAAACTCCACACGTATGTGACAAATCAAAAGTTAACATGTATTATGCTACATTATTGTGTATCAAAAAAAAAAATGGATCTTAAACATTTTTCAAAAGGAACATAACAAGCCCAAAATGATAAGAAAAAAGAAAAAGAAAAAAAAGAAGAAGCCAACTTGCTGACTTATTAACTTATTTAAGTTATATCACCTCTTTTAATTTTTGTACTTTTTTTGTAATAAGTTAAAAAATTAGTTTATAATTTATACTTTTTTTGTAATAAGTTAAAAAATTAGTTTATAAGCCACTTCCCAAGTAAGGGTTAATAATGACCAATAAACAGAGCATGTGTAACTAGTATGACCCCTATGAGCGCAAGGCTTTGAAAGGAAAATGCCTTAGACCACTAATTAGTGGTGGCTCTAATGATGTGGACCCCTAGTCTATAGCATTACTCGCTTTGAAATGCGTAACAAGTATGACACCACTTACACGGCCGATCCTTAGTTATTATTTGGGTCTGAGGTGAATTTTTTAAATTGGATTATTCATATATCATTATTAAAAAAAAAAAAAAAAAAATTTGGATAAAACAAAAGGATAAAAAAAAAAATTTCTATTGCATTATAATTTAACAAAATTTAGATAACAAATATATATATATATATAATAGTTAAATTTCAATTAGTTGAATCAAATCTTTATTTTTTAGTTTACTAGTGCTATAAGAACTAAAATTAATTGGGGGCAAAGATGAGAATTTTCAACACAACTTAATCAATATATAAAATTAACAAGTTAGGATTGACTATTTTTCAACATAAATTCAAATATGACACGGCTTAATAACATGATTTATTTGTTATATATTTTAATATTCATGAAGGAATGCCATGATATTATTTTAATCTTTTATTTAATTCCATCTAACTGAATAAAAAAATATGTAAAATAATAATTAAGGCTAATATTTTTTTTTTCATTTAAGATACATTGCCTTTTTGTTACCTATTTTAAAGTCAATCTAGTAAAAAATATATAGTAATAAGGTACAATTTTTTTAATTAGAAAAATGCAATTAAATTAAAAATCAAACATTCTATGAATAATTTCATTTAGTAGAAACAAATTTCATAAAATTCAACTTATGAAAAAAAATTTAATCTCTGCATACACTTGCCAAGTTATTTTTAACTTCAAGTGAATGTTTCAAATTAAATATCAATTGGACACGAATCAAAATAACACCGCACGATAGCATGAAAATAAATAAATTAAACTAATATTGAAGTAATTATGAAATAATACGACATAATACACTCCCCTAGTTGGGGCCCTAAATTTTATTCAAACTTGGGGGCCCGAGACAACGGCCTTCGGCGCTTCACCTCAACAACTCTTGTTTTTGTCCGTAGTTGAAGATGGTTAACCTTCTGGCTCACCGAATTCATGGAGAGAAAAATAACACTGCGCCCAGAAAAATAATTCTGCAGATGGGAGCAGACTGCATTAAAATTCGGTCCCGCCATATTTAACCCCATCTGATTCACATCATCACGACTCATTCCATCATTATTGGCAACAACAAAATGCTCGAGTTTTGGAGCACGAATATTCAAATATTGAAAGCCCAAGCATTCTACAAGCTCCGCCCGCACAAGCGATGGGGTGCTGAGCCTAAGTGTAACATCACCAACTATGACGGAACCAAATGCTATTTTCTCAAGACGAAGGAATCGGAGATTCTGAAAGCCTCCAAATGATTTGTAGAATGTACAATTACGGAGCATCAATCGGGTCAATTCATAGCACTCAAAGAGAAAATAAGAAAGCTCACATGTAATAATATTCCAATTATCCACGGAGAGTTCCTTGATACCATTTTTTGACAGGAATGATATCCAGATATTTATATATAGGCCCCACTTAAATACCATGTCCGGAATGTGGATAATAAACTTTCGAATGGGAATGGGACCTTTACGATGATTATTGAGAATTTCAGCAACTTTAGTTACCCATGCAGTTGGAAGCAATGAAATCCATCGGCCACGCTCTTCAAAGAGGAGTTTGTCAAGTATGACTTGTGGATATTCAGACCAATTACTTGTCCTTGACAAGATGCTTGTTCTTGCTGCTTCTTCAAAAGGAATGTGCTCTAGAATATTGAGTTTTATCTCTACTGGCAAGGTACTGAACCTGTCCCTTGTAGGGACAGCCCTGTCGCTCCTAGTTTCAATGGGAATTAAAATTGAACAAGCAGGCGGAGAATGATGGAAAAACCGTTTCACCAATACTTTATCTCTGCATAGTGCCTGTTCAACAAAAAGGGACCCCAAGTGCAGTCAATGGACAACAAACTTCATACAGATCTAGGTAGTGTTTGATAACTTAATTCAAAACTTAAAACTTAACGTATTAAGTGAAAATTAAATAAATTCGTTTGATAACCACCATCAGTGTAAGTGACTCTTGAAATGTATGCTAAAAATTAAGAAAATTTTAAGTAGTTGGAAACTTAATGACTGAATTTATTCTTGGAGCATCTCCAATCCTCTACTTTTTAGATATTTTGGAGAGTCTCACCCATAAAACCAACTCCATCAGCTTCCCTAAAGAGGGCCCCTATTATAGGAAGTTGAACTGTTCCAGTTGCTCCTCAATTGTGGGGAGCTACTGTAGAACCCCCAAAAATATAAAATTGTTTTTTATTCAACTGCTCTTGGCCTCTTCACCAAATGACTCTAATCACAAACAAATAAACAATCCTGGATTTTCCAACAGCTCTTTATCATTTTGCTATTTCGTTTTTATGGTGTGTATTCTCTCATATATACAAACACAGGGATGGACTAAGGGGGTGGCTGCTGGCAGTGGCCACCCTTAAGTTTTGAAAAAGCTCCTTAAATATAGTGATATTAGTAATCAACATTTATAAATTACATAGGCTCACCCTACGATACACGGACTCGTCAGTTTTGGCGAAGTACCCGTGTCGATACGACACGACACGGGTACGCGTACGGGATACGGACGGGATACGGCCTGGAAGAAGTAGATATGGCATATGGAAGTAAGAAGAAAGATGGCAAACCTGGGGTTAGGGCTACGAAAACTGCGATAAGCCTTCGATCCTGCGATTAGGGCTCCGATCTTCTTTCGAACCGTCTTCTTCTCTCTCTCACTCTCACGCTCGATTGTTTTCTTCTTCTATCTCTTCTCTCACTCTCGATCATCTTCATCTCTCTCTTCTCTGTTTCGATCAACGTCGTCTCTCCCTTCTCTCTGTTTTCTTCTCTCCCTTCTCTCTGTTGACCGTCTTCTCTTCTTTCTTCTTTTTAAAGGGTGCATATTATATAAATAATGTATAATATAAATTATATCATATATAATATATAATATAAATTATATCATATATAATATAATTTACCATAAATAATATATAACATAAATTATATCATAAATAATATATTGAGAACAACTTCTTTTCTTCCATCTTGAAAATTGTCACCAACCAACAAGTTAATAAATTTTCACCTTTTCACCTACCAATCAAAAAGTCAAAAAAGCTACCATCTACCTATCAATTATATAATAATAGATTTAATTAAATAATATATAATAAAAAATTAATAAATTAATAAAATCTATAAAATACATTATCTATTTTATATTTATTTTCACATAATTTGTTATTCCTTATTTATTATATTTTTGTTATTTAAAATATATATGTCAATTAAAAGTTTAAAAAAAATTATATAGATAAATCAAAAAAATTATCAATAAAAGTAATACATAAGATAAATATAATAAATACATTTAAAAAATAACTATTTAACTTATCTTTATATAATAAATATATTTTAAAAATTAAATATTTAACGTATCCCCGTACCCGTATCCTCGTTTGGATCCATATCCACGTATCCTCAATTTTTAGTTTTGAAGTGCCCGACCCCTAGATACGTACCCACACCCGAGTCCGTGTAACATAGGCCATTATGATTGATTCAATGCACATTTCTCTGTTGCAAGATGTTGATTCCTTGCTATGTTCGTTGAGGTTGTCATTGAGGGAGTTATTACAATTGTTATTGTTTTTTGGCAACTTCATGTAGTCATTTATAATGATCATACTATTTTCGAGTTCAAGTTGGA